ACTGGAAAATATTAATTTTATATCTTGGTTAGGAAAGACATGACCTTAAAAGGCATGTGTGCAAAGGTGTTATAGATAACTTTGTGCGAAAGGTGTTTCGATGTGATATTAAAAGCCTTAATATAAGTGAAAATTTAATAAATACATTAAAATTTTATTGAAGTCAATGTATTTTAACTTACATAACTCCATGTAGTTTTGATATGCCTCTCCATGCCTCTTAACAAAGGTAAGGAAAGTATATGCATCTCACAATAAAGTAAAGAAAATATTACACAAACAGTAGACAGTGGTGAAAAAAATGCCATGAATATTCCTCTAGCTAGTTTATAAGGTAGAAATAGGACAAACATTAGATGATCAATTTTCATTAGTTGACCCAAATTTTAAGTCAAATAAAAAGGAAATTAAACACTTTACTTTTACTGTTGTAAAACTGGAATGTATGGCTTCACTACAAAATACATTTAAAATTTAAATGTTTATAGATTACCATCCCTAAAAATTTTAAGGATATTTAGGTGCTGCCAAGGCTATGGAAGCCCCCTGAGTTCACTGACTCTGATCATTTTTAGACAAGGCCATGGTCAAAGTGGAAGTTCTCTCCTCCCTTCAGAGAAAGGTACCTCCTTCTTTGATGACCCATTCTTTCCACTGGGATCTCACTCGTGGAGATCTTTCATTTAGGTTTGTTTTTTTTTTTTTTTTCCCCAGAGTGTCTTGGCTTTCCATGCCTGAAATACTCTCATGGGCATTTCAGCCAGATCCGCATGCCTTAAGGGCTGATTCTGAAGCCAGAGTGCTGTTAGGAAATTTGCCATTCTATGGGTCTGCTGTGTATCTCACTTCCCATGTTGGACTATTCTCTGGGGCTTCCATAGCGTTGGCAGCTCATGACAAGAGCCTAGGGTGATTACTGAGGCCATAAACAAGAGTGTCAATTTGTTAAGTCAACAACAGGAGTCACTGTGCACTTACTCCTCATGTAGGATCTTTGTCCTTAGCGTGCTGTACATTGAGATTTAATGCTATAACTAGTACTCAAACAGTATTTTTCACTTTATGTTTCTGTGTGGGAGCAAACTGTTGAAATCTTTACTTAATGTATGCTAAACTGATCTTCTGTATATAAAGAGAATCGAAAATGAATCCTCATGTGAATGGAAGGGGAGAGGGAGTGGATAAGGGGAGGGTTGCGGGTTGGAGGGACATTATGGGGGGGAAGCCATTGTAATCCATAAGCTGTACTTTGGAAATTTATATTCATTAAATAAAAGTTAAAAAAAAGGATATTTAGGTGCAGCAACAGAATAAAACATATAGGTGCACCACATTTAATAATAAAGCACCTGCTTCTCTCTTATATTTGGAAAACCCCAATTTGGCTACTAATTAAACTCTGGATGTTTAGTTATACTTTTTTAGTCAGATAAATTAACTATTCTGTAGTTTATAAAATAATTATAGCTCTAATGCTCTGGCTGCACTCTAAGTCAGATGGTAATAGTCTACCCCATAAAAATCCTGTTGTGGTTTCAAAGTGGTGCTGGTTTTCACTGCACTAAAATGTAACTGTCAGAGAACTTAACATTATCTACCCTCAGCATAAATTCATTTGGTAGGTGGGTAAAACAAATAGCTTGCCATTTTCAAAGCACCAGGTGATCCTTTTAGATTGATATATTGGATATATTACTGTAACACACAATCATGATGTTAAAAAAATGCAACAAGATGCTTTGAAGATATATTATGCTAAGAGATTCACTTTTCCTTCTAAATAATTTTGTTTTATCTCAAAGGCATAGTAAGCAGTTGAATTACCAAAAGTTAGTTCTTTTTGCATTTTTCAAGTTTCAGTTTTGGAATGGACAGGCACATCTGCTTGCTGATTCAGGTGATATCACGCATCATCCATATGAAGCCATCAGGGATACATCACTGGTTTGCAGAAGACATACGCTCAGCGTTGAAAACCCTAGACATCACCTCTCGAAACACCGCTCACTTTTCTGCTCTATGCCATCTACACAGAAACAGAGAAATCAACAATGTAGTGTGGACAATTAACCATGAAAAAGAAACTTGTTTATTATTGTGTCTTGAATTATGTTTTCTCTTGAGCTTGCTGACAGAATTTGGTTTCATTTCATTTACAAATCTTAAAGGGAGACTTTATTTCTTTTTTTGTTGTTTCTCATATATATGCTTTTTTATTTGTTTCTCTCTCTCTCCCTCTCTCTCTCTCTCTCTTTTGCCCCCAAAACTTTTTCTATCCACACTCATGTTTGTTAATGGTAACAAACAAAAAAATAATTCTCAGTTACTTCTTTAACTTACTGGTAGGGGTCACAACATTGTGTAAGACAGTTTCCAGAGATTGTTCTTTATAAACAGGTGCATAGACTGAACTTCATAACACCGTGACCAGATAAATGAACTAAGGCAATATTTGTAAGTCAAACTGCATTCAATTTGCATTGTAAAATAACCCAAATCCCACATTTTAAAATGAGAGCAGACCTTCCCCACAGGTAGCATCACCTATAGTAAACAGCATATTCCACAGAACTATGGAAATAGAGCAGCCTCTTTAAATGAAAACAATTCGTCACATTGAATACTTAGTAAAAATACAGTGGGATCTCTGGATCTTTATATCTATAGGTTCTGCATCATGGATATAATCAACTGAAAACTGAAACTATTCAGAGAGGCCAGAGTTATGGCAAATCAGGTTAAGCTGCTGCTTCCTACTCTAGCATACCATATGAAGTGCCAGTTTGTGTCATGGCTGCTCTGCTTTTGATTCAGCTCTCTGATAATGTGCCTGGAAAGAAGCAGAAGACGGTTTTGGTGCTCCAGTCTGACATCTAAATGGAAGAACAGGATGGAGTTCCAGGTCCCTTGCCTCCTGACTAGCCCAGCACCCACCATTTTAGCCATTTGGCAAGTGAACAAGCAAATGGAAGACCTCTTCTTCCTTCTGTTTCTCTCTCCTTCTCTTTTTCACTCTTTCACTCTGCCTTTCAACAAATAAATGAAATCATAAGGAAAGAAAGAACATAATCGGAATAAGCATGCAGAAAATGAATTCCCTATACAATATAGTAATTCCTAAACAATATACTATAATAACTATTTACATAGCTTTATATTATATTAATGTAAGGAATTGAAACATGATTTAAAGTCAGTAGGGGGAGGGATGATGTGTATAGAGTATATAAAAATGCTACTCAATTTTATTTTATAATAGAGACTTGAACAACCACAGATTTTAGCATCCTGGAGGTCCTGGAACAATACTCAATGTATACTGAAGAATGACTATATTCTGTTTGTCAAAATTACTGATTGGATATTAAAACTGAATAATTGTTTACTATTCAAAAAATAGTTCAGTTTCTAAGGTCAGTCATAGTGGAAATAGTTTGTTTTACATACACAAACAAGCTCTAAAGAAATTTAATAAAAATCTGCAAATAAAGATGTAATTGTAAGGATAAATAGTACTTTAGGGAGTAATTGTATAAGGCAGGTTATAATAATAATTAACATAGAAAAATTTTTCTGTAAGCCAAAGAATTTCATGGCAAATGTACTGTAAACATATTAAAAACCTGCAATAGTAGATACAAAGTTGTAAGAAGAAGGAATTTTTTGGACTTGCCCCAAATGGTGGAGTTAGAAATGTGCCACGGGATTCCAATTCAATCCCATGAAGGTGGCATGTACAAATGCCATCTCACTAGTCCAAGTGATCAATGTCAGTTCACAATTGATCACAGTGATAGGTCTAAGAGTCAAAGGGATCACACAAACAAGACTAGTGTCTGCTAATACTATCTGATAGAATCAAAAAGGGAGAGAACAATCCAACATGGGAAGCAGGATACACAGCAGACTCATAGAATGGCAGATGTCCTAAACAGCACTCTGGCCTCAGAATCAGCCCTTAAGGCATTTGGATATGGCTGAAGAGCCCATGAGAGTATTTTAGGCATGGAAAGCCAAGACATTCTGGCAAAAAATAAAGAAAAAGAGGACCTAAATGAAAGATCTCTTTGAGTGAGATCCCAGTAGAAAGAACGGGGCCATCAAAGAAGGAGGTACCTTTCTCTGAAGGGAGGAGAGAACTTCCACTTTGACTATGACCTTGTCTGAATAAGATCAAAGTCGGTGAACCCAAAAGGCTTCCATAGTCTTGGCAACTCATGACTAGAGCCTAGGGAGATTACTGACAGCATAAACAAGAGTGTCAAACTGTTAAGTCAACAACAGGAGTCACTGTGTACTTACTCCTCATGTGGGATCTCTGTCCTTAATGTGCTGTACATTGTGATTTAATGCTATAACTAGTACTGAAACAGTATTTTACACTTTGTGTTCTGTGTGTGTGCAAACTGTTGAAATCTTTACTTAATATATACTAAACTGATCTGCATATAAAGATAATTGAAAATGAATGAATCTTGATGTGAGTGGAATGGGAGAGGGAGTGGGTTGTGGGTGGGAGGGAAGTTATGGGGGGGGAAGCCATTGTAATCCATAAACTGTACTTTGGAAATTTATATTTACTAAATAAAAGTTAAAAAAAGAACTTAAAAAATAAAATAAAATAATAAAAAAGTAGAAGGAATTTTAATTAAAAAAAACTAAATAAAAGTTTAAAAAAGAACTTAAAAAATAAAATAAAATAATAAAAAAGAAGAAGGAATTTTAATTTTTTTAAAAAAAAATCTTCGTTCATTTTATTTATCTAAAAGGAGAGAGAGAGGAAGAGAGAGAGAGAGAGAGAGAGATCTAATCCACTTGTTCACTCCCTAAATGTCCGTGTAAGCTGGGCTTTTACCAAGCCAGGTACACAATCCAAGTCTTCTTGTAAACACCTGGCTACAAACTTGGTGTCTTACAACAATATTAATATGTGACCTTACAGTTCTGAAGATATCAAGTATTAAAATCCAGGTGTTGCAAAAGCTATGTTTTTCTTGTAGGGTTAGAGGAAGAATCTGTTCCCTTGAATTTCCTGGCTTTTAGAGGCTGCCTGTGCTTGGCCCGTATCCTTTCCTTAGACTTCAAAGCAAGCAGAGGAACACCTGCATGTCTCTCTGATCTGATTCTCCTGCTTCTCTGTTCCTCTGGTAAGTACCACCTGCTTCCCTCTTTCTCTTATAAGCACCACTTAAATAACATACCAGAAATATCTTCCAGTCCCTAAATCTTTAATGTAATCGCCATTTGTAAAATACCTGTTAACCTGCAAGGCCAGATATTCATAAGCTTCAGGGATGAGGACATGGAAGTCCTTGGGGGTTTATTATATCTACTACCTCAACTAATGTTTATGTCCTTGCCAGCAGTGATTTTAACTAAAGTTGGAAAAGATCAAAGAATAAGTCACTTTTCATGTAGAAAAATAAAGACTCGCTGAGGCACAGACAGACTGGCTTTTTATGTCCAGCTTATAGCACTAAATGAAATCAGCAGAGACCTGTATGTAAAATATTGATGATTTCTAACTCAGAATTTAAAAATAAATAAAGTGCACTTTGAAAAATGTGTTTTTTAAAAGATTTTATTTATTTATTTGAGAGGTAGAAAGTGAGAGGGTGAGACAGAAAGAAAGGTCTTCCTTCCATTGGTTCACTCCCCAAATGGCCGCAATGGCTGGAGTTGTGCTGACCCAAAGTCAGGTGCCAGGAGGCTCCTCCTGGTCCTCCATGCAAGCACAGGGGCCCAACCACCGTGGCCACCCTTTACTGCTCTCCCAGGCCACAGCAGAGAGCTTGACTGAAAGAAGAGCAGCTAGGACTAGAACCGGTGTCCATATGGGATGCTGGCACCGCAGGTGGATAACTAACCCAATGTGCCAGCCCCAGAAAATATTTTTAAAAAATTACTCTAAAAAAAAGGCACTATTTGAAGTAGTATTCCAATTGCACTCAGAATAATTAAACAATTCAAAATGAAATAATATGGCCAAAATGATAATATCTTTATTAAATCATTAAATGGCACGAATCAAGCAAATTTAAAGGCAAATGTTTGACATATAAGAAAAATAGTCAAAATATATTAATATGGTAAATACAGTCAAAATATTGACTCATTTACATTAACAAATATTAATTAGGTAGTATAGGAATTAAAGTGACTAAAGTCATATTCCACTAAATTCTTTCTGACTCAGGGAGTAATTATAAAACTCTAAATAGAAATATAGTTAAAAACAGTTTCTCAAATATGCAGTGAGTTATATGTAGAAGGTGTACTTCTCAAATCCATCAAATGGTTAAAAAAAAGCAATAATTGTGTAGAATTAAATTGGCAATAAAGCAACAGCAAAAGCCATAACTTTAGAAATCATAAACATGAAAGTAGTAGTATATGAATTATTGTTTATTCATTCATTTTTAAATTTATTAGACAGGAAGAGTTACAGACAGTGAGAGAGAGAGAGAGAAACAGAGACAGAGAGAAAGGTCTTCCTTCCTTTGGTTCACTCCCCAAATGGCCGCTATGGCTGGTGCTGCACTGATCTGAAGCCAGGAGCCAGGTGCCTCTTCCTTGTATCCCATGCGGGTGCAGGGGCCCAAGCACCTGGGCCATCCTTCACTGCCCTCCTGGGCCACAGCAGAGAGCTGGACTGGAAGAGGGGCAACCGGGACTAGAACCCAGTGCCCATATGGGATGCCTGCGCTGCAGGCAGAGGATTAACCAAGTGAGCCACGGCACTAGCCCCAGTATATGAATTCTTAACATAGAAATAGAATTTCATCATTGTTAAGAATTTTCAGATTTTATAAACATAGTTTTATTGTAGGGAATGTAAATGGTAGTAAATAATAATGATGTAACCACACTGGTGATAAAAGTGATCATTCTGTTACATTGTTTAAATCATATCTACAACTAAAAGCTATTCAAAAATATGTATATCTATTATGCATACAAGGGGAATTAGAAACAGACACAAATTCCTAGAAAACACAGACAGATAATGAGAAGGCATAACTTATTTCAATATCAAACAAGTCTTTAAGAATTTTTTTTTATTTTTTTTAACTTTTATTTAGTAAATATAAACTTCCAAAGTACAGTTTATGGATTACAATGGCTTCCCCCCCAAAAAAATCCCTCCCACCCAAAACCCACTCCCTCTCCCATTCCATCTCCCATTCCACTCACATCAAGATTCATTTTCAATTATCTTTATATGCAGATCAGTTTAGTATATATTAAGTAAAGATTTCAACAGTTTGCACCCACACAGAACACAAAGTGTAAAATACTGTTTTAGTAATAGTCATAGTATTAATTCACAATGTACAGCACATTAAGGATAGAAATCCCACATGAGGAGTAAGTACACAGTGACTCCTGTTGTTGACTTAACAGTTTGACACTCTTGTTTATGCTGTCAGTAATCTCCCTAGGCTCTAGTCATGAGTTGCCAAGACTAAGGAAGCCTTTTGGGTTCACCGACTTTGATCTTATTCAGACAAGGCCATGGTCAAAGTGGAAGTTCTCTCCTCCCTTCAGAGAAAGGTACCTCCTTCTTTGATGGCCCCGTTCTTTCTACTGGGATCTCACTCAAAGAGATCTTTCATTTAGATCCTCTTTTTCTTTATTTTTTGCCAGAATGTCTTGGCTTTCCATGCCTAAAATACTCTCATGGGCTCTTCAGCCATATCCGAATGCCTTAAGGGCTGATTCTGAGGCCAGAGTGCTGTTTAGGACATCTGCCATTCTATGAGTCTGCTGTGTATCCTGCTTCCCATGTTAGATTGTTCTCTCCCTTTTTGATTCTAACAGTTAGTATTAGCAGACACTAGTCTTGTTTGTGTGATCCCTTTGACTCTTAGACCTATCACTGTGATCAATTGTGAACTGACATTGATCACTTGGACTAGTGAGATGGCATTTGTACATGCCACCTTCATGGGATTGAATTGGAATCCCATGGCACATTTCTAACTCCACCATTTGGGGAAAGTCCGATTGAGCATGTCCCAAATTGTACATCGCCTCCCTCTCTTATTCCTACTCTTATATTTAACAGGTATCACTTTTCAGTTAAATTTCAACACCTAAGAATATTTGTGTGTTAATTATAGAGTTCAACCAATAGTATTACGTAGAACAAAAAAATACTAAATGGGATAAAGTATTAAATTGTACATCAACAGTCTGGACAAGGGCTGATCAAGTCACTGTTTCTCATAATGTCCATTTCACTTCAATAGTTTTCCTTTTTGGTGCTTGGTTAGTTGTTACCAATCAGGAAGAACATATGATATGTGTCCCTTTGGGACTGGCTTAATTCACTCAGCATGATGTTTTCCAGATTCCTCCATTTTGTTGCAAATGACAGGATTTCATTGTTTTTGACAGCTGTATATTATTCTATAGAGTAGGAATTTTTTTTTTTTTAATTTTTGAACTTCTACTTTCTGCTTAGCATGTCCACCCTTTATTCAGGAAGAAGATTCTGCAGTGGAAAACTGAGGTTAAATTTCTTTTAGATATATGCAAATGATGGAATAATCCAAAATGGAGAAATGAAGACAATATCTTGGTTTTTCACTTAGAACCAAGCCTTTATTGTACTTGCAGAGTCACTGGATGAACAATGAAATTTCACATCAAGCAAAAGTGATGCTGTGAATTTTACTACAAAAGGCCATGGAACTTCCCTGCATCTCATGAGGCTGAGTGTATCTCCCAGAGTGAAACCCAATTCCTCTGCAGCTCACCAGCCATGGTCACCCATGGTCCACTCCTCAGGGTGAGTGCCTCCGGTCTCTGCCTTGTTTAGGCTAGGTCAAATTTATTCTTTAAAAAAAAGGCAAAAACCAAAAAATACCACTTCATACCCAGTAGGATGGTGATAAGCAAGAAGGTGAAAAATAAGCAGTACGAGGAAGTGAAGCAACTGGAACCCTTACAAGTTACGGGGGGAGGGCCAAGTGGTGCGGCTGCTGTAGTAAAAAGCTTGGCGGAGTCTTGGAACGTTGAACACAAAGTTACCACGTAATCCAGCAATTCCATGCCTGGATTCCTACTAGCCAAAAAGCAGCAGTCCCCATGTGTCCACTAACTGGTAAATGAGTGAGCAAAATGTGGCATATTCATGCAATAGGCATTATTCAGCTAGAAAAAGGAATGAAATACAGACAGATGTTATATTGTGAACGCATCTTGAAAACATTCCACCCAGTGAAAGAAGCCAGAGACAAAACGCCACACATGAAGTGACTCCACTTATAAGAACTGCCTAGAATAGGCAAATCTTTAGCGATACAGAGATATATTAGTGATTTCCTGGGCTGGGGGCTGGGAAGAGGGAGAAAGAGAGTGACTGCTCATGGATATGAAGCTTCTTTTCAGAGTGGCGACAATGTTCAGGAATTGCATATGGTGATGGATGCACAACACTGTGAAGATAGTAAATAAAGCTCACTGAATTGCATACTTGAAAAAGGTGAACTTTTGGTCTATGAATTGTATTTCAATAAAGTTATTACTAAGAAAGAACAGGTTATGAAGTGGGGATGCTTATTGTTAAGGCTACAATTTTGGGGTTCTACAAAACATACACCTGCAACATTCCCACCTGCTGCTTCGAAAGGACTCAGAGCTGGAAGGAGGGAAGCAGCTCATGTCTAATCCAGCACCCAACAGCTTGACCAGGAAGTTCCTAAAGCCCCCATTCGCTGCCCCCACACAACATCTAAGACATGGCGTGTGCTCCTCCTCAGTGTCCTTGATGCAGGGAGACCCACGTAACAAACGGCTGATTCTGAAGATGAATCCCTGCATTTTCTGTTTCAGAAAACAGAAGTAGGTATATGATTATATTTTCAACCTTTGCTCTAGAAAACCTAAATGGAAATACATTATTAATCTTATTTTTTCCTTGAATCAGACACTTAGTGATCAACCCCCCTTGCCTGATGGTCTCCAGGCTGATGTTCCTTTTACAGATGCATCCTGTTATAATAAAGGATGCTTTCATGAGCAGATTGCTCCCAAGCCCTTTGGTTACAGGTACGATCTGATTCCCAAACCAGAACTCATATTCCACTAACTCACCAGCCTTCAAGGAAGAGGGTTATGAATAAGGATGGCATCTGTGCCTCTGCCTGATATCTGGGTCTTTCCCTAGTGCACAAGTGTCTAAGGGGTTCAAAGCTGTCAGTTAACTCTGGCGTCTTAGTGTTCGACATGGAAACTGCCAAAATACCCAGGGAGCCTGCTCCTGCAAGCCTCCCACCCTGGGCCTAAGGATCAGGTTAGCTTACCGCTACCCATCCTCAGGCTGAGCAGAGGAGCAGCATAGAAACAGCCTAGCAGGTGCTTCAGCGAGGCTACAGGAGCTACTGCCCACAGGTAGGCAATATGTCCTAATTTGGGGAAGGGATCAGAAAAGCTGAGAAGTAAAAGGACCCACGCACAGCTGAAATGCTGGTGGGGGAGCCAAGGTGACGAGTGCCTTGATCAGTGCCTCTAAGCCCGCAGCTCTAGGGTGCTCTTTCCACTGAAGCACAGGGGCTCATCACTGCCCACATGAAGACAATATTTTTTAAAAGTCTGAAGGTCTAGTATGATCAGAGAATGAAGAAAATGTTTATATTATACACACTTTATTACAGAGTAAGCACAAGCCATCAATGTAAAGTGGTGGATTAAGATACCACCTGGGATGCCGGACACCACACCACAGCATTGGTTGTAGTCCCTGCTGCCCCACTTTCAATACAAATTCCTGGTAATGTGCTTGGGAAACAGAGGAAGATGGCCTCAGTGCTTAGACCCCTGCCACCCATGTAGGAGACCTGGATGGGATTCTGGATCCCAGACTTCAGCCTGACCCAGCCCCTGTAGTTGTGGCCATTTGGGGAGTGAAGTAGTGGATGGAAGAACTCTTTATCTCTGTCTCTCCAACTCTCTCTATATAACTCTGCCTTTTAAATAAATAAAATAAAAAGTTTTTAAAAAGTAACATGCAAAGCATTTAAGCTAGTATTAATGTAAAATATAATAATATATTAATCCAAATTAAACCGTGAAAGAAAAAATAAAAAAATGATGTGATAGATCAGCTATAATAGCTTAGTAACACTAAAGTAGAGCATTAGTCAAAATAGAATGTAAAAAATAAAGGAAGAGCATTACTACAGATAAAAAGGGATATTTTGTAAGAATAGCAAATTCAATCCACCAGGAAGAAGAAAGCCAGTATTCACACCACTTAAATAGTTTCCAAAGGATAAAGCAAAAATTTAAAGAAAAAAAAATCAATCCACAAATAATTTAGAAGCCATCAGTACTTTTCTTTCAAAAGTCCATTGAGGAGCTTTAATAAAGCATTCTGAAAATAATAAACAAAACGTTGAAATAACAAAAAGAAATATGGTTAAAAATACTGTAAAATGCCACATAAAAAGAAGTTTTAAAATAATCATGAATCAAAAAGAAAATAGGTATTAGGAAATATGTTGATGCTGTTAATGATTAATATATATCAGATCTTGCTTCTGGTCAGATAGAACAGGTCTGGATTTACTCTCCTACTTGAAACAAGTTAAAAATGTACAGCTTGAGGTGGGCATTTTGGTACAGTGAGTTATAGACACTTCTTGGGATGTCCACATCCCATATTGAAGTGTCTAGTTAAAGATCTGGCTGCTTGGTTTCCAATCTAGCTTCCTGCGAAGGCACCCAAGAAGGCAGTGGGTGATGGGGCAACTTCTTGTCTTTCCCTACCACCCTTGTGGGAGTCTTGGATGGAGTTCTGGGCTTCTCTCTTTGCACTAGCTATTGTGTCCTTTTGGCCAATGAGACAGCTGGTGGGAAAGTTCTATTTCTATGTCCATCCCTCTCCTTGTTCCTCTGACTTTCAAATAAATAATAAATCTTTAAATCTGGACAACTTTATAAAACAATAGTATTTAAGAAAATGAATCTTGATGTGAATGGAAGGGGAGAGGGAGTGGATAAGGGGAGGGTTGCGGGTTGGAGGGACGTTATTGGGGGGGAAGCCATTGTAATCCATATTCTGTACTTTGGAAATTTATATTCATTAAATAAAAGCTAAAAAAAAAAGACATTGGCCAAAAGGCTAAAAAGTAGAGTGATCTCAGGATGGGCTGTATAATGACCTCAGTTCACTGCTTTGAAGAGCCTTCCAGGCTGTGGTAGACAACTCAATAAACTGAAGTGAAAGGGCTGAGTGTCCAGGGTTGTAAAGGCAGCTATTGGATTCATTAGATAGTCTGACAGAAAAAAGAGTTAGATACAGAGAGATATCTGGAGACGTATCAGGGATCCTCTTGGAGGATTGGGATTGAGCTCCAAGAATGCATCCATGTGAGAAAACTTCCTGAATCAAGGAAAAGAACTACCCAGAAAGATTGGGAGTATTCAAAATTTTCAAGAGCTCACTGTTTCTGCCTGTTTTTACTAATCATACTGGAAAATTTCATAACTTATGGATATTAGATAGCGTGTTCAAAATTGTCTTGCCTCAGTGATAGGGAATAATTAAGCCTTGATGCAAAAGTGCTCTGGATTGATGAGAAAGTGAAGCAATTATGTAGCTCATACACTGTTGATGTTAATAAATTACAACCATATTGGACAACTTTTGAAAGCATCCACTAAAAACTGAGTATATTTACAGGTGACTTAGAAATTCCATGTATAGTTTAGTATCAATGGGAAATGTGTGCAAATATGTACCAATTAACATTTGCAAGAATTTTCAGAGCCATACTACACATGATAGCGAAAACCTGGAAGTTTCCAAAAGTCCACCAAGAGCCAAGTGGATTATTATGTTCATATACTGCTTAACACTGAAGTGATTAAGTTATAATTACATAAAACCACATGGATGAATTTCCTAATTATATGATTCAGTAAATGAAAGTAGACACAATAGATTACAAAAGGAATGTTGGCATTTACATAAAGATCAGATAGACAAATTTATTTTATGATTGTGAGGTCAAAGGAATCACTTTCAGTTTTTATCTCAGTAAGGGTTCTTTTATTTTTTTTGACAGGCAAAGTGGACAGTGAGAGAGAGACAGAGAGAAAGGTCTTCCTTTGCCGTTGGTTCACCCCCGCAAAGGCACGCTGCGGCCGGAGCACCACGCTGATCCAAAGCCAGGAGCCAGGTGCTTCTCCTGGTCTCCCATGTTGGTGCAGGGCCCAAGGACTTGGGCCATCCTCCACTGCACTCCCAGGCCACAGCAGAGAGCTGGCTTGGAAGAGGGGCAACCGGGACAGAATCTGGTGCCCCGACCGGGACTAGAACCTGGTGTGCCAGCGCCACAGATGGAGGAGGATTAGCCTATTAAGCCACGGCACCAGCTTCAGTAAGGGTTCTGCTACTTCTTTCAATGTTAAGAATTTACATCCAAGATAATTCTTGAAGCATCCTTTAGTGCCTTAATTCTCTAACCTGGCTAAGATCCATGTACGTTTCTATTTTGCTAAAACTTCGCCTCTTGCAATCATGTATTCAACTGTTTCCTGGACATCAACTTCTATAAATCTAAAATCACATTCAATTCAAGAAATTCCAAAATTAGCTCATATATTTCTAAACTAAATGCGCTATAAAACTCCTGACCAAATACAGCTGCGTGTTCTGTTAGAATATTACACTTATTGACCATTGCAGATGACTTGGAAAGTGAAATATTGATTCCTCTCTTCCCCTTATTATTTTTCTTTAAAATAGTCATTTAATTTTTCCTTTTTTTTTTTCCAGCCCACTAGAGGCAGAGCAACCAAAAGCAGGTTAAGGAATAAATTGCTCTTTCTGGGCCTATATTGAAGCAAAGACATAGTCTTCTCTTGCGCTAAAGTTGGAACTTACATCATTGGATCTACCAATTCTCAAAACTTCAGACTTGGACTACATCATCAGTTGTCTCAATACTAAAGTCTTTGGACTCAGATTAGAACCATTTGACAATCTCCTGTGAGTTTCCAGGTTGAAAATGGCAAATCAAGGAAGTTAGCTTTCTGAGTATACTAGCCAATTCCTTATAATACATTTCATCACTATTCAAATTTTTGTTCTATGAATATCTGTGAACAATTTAAAAGTGTGAACTACTCAAACTTAGTGTTAACCAAATGGCTAAAACCTGTTAGAGTAACTGAAGAACTTGTCTTAAAATTTGTTTTTCTTCTTTTGACCTATTGATATTTGTTTACCTGGAAAGATAATAATTACCTTGAGTTACATGAATTTCTGTGTTTAGCCTTCCACTTTAGGCTCCATGCCTTGGAAGTGAATAGACATTTTTATTTCAACTAGGACCTTTTGAAGCACTGATTTTGTTTTTCCTGGTGGCGATCTCTCCAGTTACTGTGTAACTACCATTCTAACATAATACATATGGCCTACCCTATGAGGAAAAAAAAAAAGAAACATTATTAAATTCTCCCCAAGGCAGGTGGTTAGTCTAGCAGTTGAGATGCTGGTTGAGATGCCTGCATCCTATATCAGATTACCTAAATTCATTACTTGGTTCTGTTTCTTGATTCTAGCTTCTCACTAATGCAAACTCTAGTAGGCAGCAATGATGCCTCGAGTGATATTGTGTTCACTTTCCTTATCTCTAGTGACAGGGTTGCCTCTAATTAATTTCTCTATTGGCCCTTTCCACTTTCAGGCATCACGCTTCTTACAATATTATATATCAGTCTTGTTAGAGTCTTATTTCAAGACTGAAGAAATAGTGCCAGTTCAAGTGACATACCTACTTTATTGCAAAATCAGAACTTATCACTTGAATCTTCTAGTTGTAATTCAATGCTTCTTTCCCCCCTCATACTAAATAGTTCATTTTGTTACTATTCACATGAAGATGAAAATCAAGGAAGATTGATTAGTTTGTTAAATTTATGTTACTAATTTTTTAGTTATGGGGTTAAGAGCTGTTTTAACCAACAAGAATCATAAATTAGTCATTCCATAAAATTAATAGACATTTACTTTTCCATTTCCATCCTTGTTTTTCATTTCACCACCCAAAGCTCATAAAAGTATAAATAATGCACCCGAAGAGTCAAGTCAGGAAAACCTAGACCTTACATGATTAAATATTAACTAATGAAAAAGGTAAAGAATATAATCTTATGTTAATATCACCATTGACACAGTATCACATAGAAGAATGACCTGAAATAATAAGTTAAACTCAATGCAACACAAACTATTGAGAATGAAATGAGATTAATGTGGATAATTTCTATTATTAATGCAATGCTCCATCCCAAATACTACAAAAAGGAAAGAAGAAATTATCCACTAAAAATCTCAAATTTGTATATCCTATGTAAACATTCCATAATACTTAGTACTTTCTGAAGAAATAGACAATAGGTTTAACATTTTTTCAAGATATACTTAACAGTTTTGATTGTCTCAACTTTAGAAAAGAGAATGTTGTTAGTTCTGAGTAGAAATGACAGAAGTATATGTAAAGCAACTATATATATTTAAATATATATGATACATAGCCTTTTATATATCAAGCTTACATATAAATCAATCATTATATGTATTAATTGTAATGTAATGATTCAAAATGACAGCATATAAGTATTCACAAATAAACAATCATGAAACTTTTAATATTTGTTTCACTGAGACATAAACCTAGTTCTTAAAGATATTACAACTTGTTTGGAGAATCAGGATTAATGTGAGTATGTTGGGAAAAAGTGGATATAAATGTAAAGTGCTATTCTGTTGTGTTAGTAACTGCTGCAACAGAATTTTACTCTCTACTCATTACTGAAGGTAAAGTAAAATTAGGTGATTGATGCTAAGTAATAACTAATTTATAACTTGGAAGACGCATGAACAGGAGCACTGTTTCAGAAGGGACAATAAAGGAAGCATAAAGACACGGATGCTAGGTAAAGAGCCACGGAGTAAATATTTTAGGCTTTATAGACCACCTGTGACCTATGTTCAATATCTTTTATTTTTCTCCCAAAATATATAGAGAAGTTTTGAACTCAGATAAGACAAGATTATTAAAAACAATGAAAATCATAATGAAAAATTAGTTAGATTTCAATTTTCTCTACATATGAGATGAAAGAACATTTATATGTCAATTCAGTTATCATTAGTATTTTTTCAGCTTTTATTTAATGAATATAAATTTCCAAAGTACAGAATATGGATTACAATGGCTTCTCCCCCATAATGTCCCTGCCACCCACAACACTCCCCTTTAACACTCCCTCTCCCCTTCCATTCACATCAAGATTCATTGTCGATTCTCTTTATATACAGAAGATCAGTTTAGCATACATTAAGTAGAGATTTCAACAGTTTGTACCCATACAGAAACACAAAGTGAAAAATACTGCTTGAGTACTAGTTATAGCATTAAAACTCAATGTACAGCACACTAAGGACAAAGATCCTACATGAGGAGTGAGTGCACAGTGACTGCTGTTGTTGACTTAACAAATTGACACTCTTGTTTATGGCATCAGTAATCACTCTAGGCTCTTGTCATGAGCTGCCAAGGCTATGGAAGCCCCCTGAGTTCACTGACTCTGATCATATTTAGACAAGGCCATGGTCAAATTGGAAGTTATCTCCTCCCTTCAGAGAAAGGTACCTCCTTCTTTGATGACCTGTTCTTTCCACTGGGATCTCACTCGCAGAGATCTTTCATTTAGTTTTTTTTTTTTTTTTTCCCCAGAGTGTCTTGGCTTTCCATGCCTGAAATACTCTCATGGGCATTTCAGCCGGATCCGCATGCCTTAAGGGCTGATTCTGAGGCAAGAGTGCTGTTAGGACATTTGCCATTCTATGGGTCTGCTGTGTATCTCACTTCCCATGTTGGATCATTCTCTCCCTTTTTTATTCTATCAGCTAGTATTTGCAGACACTATTCTTGTTTCTGTGATCCCTTTGGTTCTTAGTCCTATCATTATGATCAATTGTGAACAGAAATTGATCACTGGGACTAGTGAGATGGCATTGGTACATGCCATTTTGATGGGATTGAATTGGAATCCACTGGTATGTTTCTAACTCTACCGTTTGAGGTAAGTCAGCTTGAGCATGTCCTAAATTGCACATCTCTTCCCTCTCTTATTCCCACTCTTATATTTAACAGTGATCACTTTTCAGTTAAGTTTCAGAACTTAAGAAGAATTGTGTATTGATTACAGTATTCAACCAAAAGTATTAAGTAGAACAAACAAAAAAAATACTAAGAGGGATAACATATTAAGTTGTTCATCAACAGTCAGGGTGAGGGCTGATCAAGTCACCGTTTCTCCTAGTGTTCATTTCACTTTAACAGGTTTCCTTTTTGGTGCTCAGTTAGTTGTCACCGATCAGGGAGAACATGTGGTATTTGTCCCTTTGGGATTGGCTTATTTCACTCAGCATAATGTTTTCCAAATTCCTAACAGGGATCACTTTTCAGTTAAAATTTAAACACTTAAGAATAATTGTGTGTTAATTACAGAGTTCAACCAACGGTACTAGAACAAAAAAAAATACTAAAATGGATAAAGTATTACATTGTACATCAACCCTCAGGACAAGAGCTGATCAAGTCACTGTTTCTCATAGTGTCCATTTCACTTCAACAGGATTCCCTTTGGTGCTCAGTTAGTTGTCGCCGATCAGGGAGAACATATGACATTTGTCCCTTTGGGACTGGTATTAATCCAAATGTCTCTTCTCACTTGACCCTAGGAAATATAGTAAATGATGTTTGATTAAACAGGAACATTACCTCAGGTTTTCCTTCAATCCTTAAAGCAAACACTTGTAAGTTCTATTGCTTCTGAAGACACATCTTTTAATGAAGTCAAATGATTGCTGGTATTAACACACTGACCTTAGATGTTCTGACATATAAAGTAAATTAAACCCATATGCAGTGGTTTTCTTTTGAAAGAATGTGTATATTTATACTTGTGAATTCAGAAGGGCTATTATTGAAATCCAATTCCTATGTTTTCTATTTGCTCACAGCTGGGGTTTCCCTGGGTACAGGGAAACACAAAGCACATGCTTAGATGCTTAGCATTCATTGGTAGAGTTTCAGAGGTTTTGAAAAGCTCCTGTATCTTCATAGCATGCTTACCTACCTCGACGTGAAGTTCCTAGACAGTGTAGTCCCTAGCATATTTCAGCATGAGCATATGGGATGAAAAACCCACATACCTTTGAAATGTTATTAGTTGCTCTATTCATTCTGATGAATCAATTTCTTGTAATATATATTTTCTGCTTAGAACTTTTGAAATATTATGGAGATACTGAAAACACATAAAATAGAAAGATAACTTCAGAAGAAAATACTGTTACTAACGCAAAGATGAATACATGATTTTGAAAATGCCAGCATGAGGAAAATGTACTGCATACTGAATTGCTTAAAAATTAAGTAAATTGGAAAGAAAAGGGGTCGTGGGAAGTTAAGGGGAAAATATACTGTTAACAGACATCAAGTTGTAATTTTTGAAGGAAACATCACAGTGCAATAAAACAGTAACATCCACTGAATTTTCATTTAATAGTTTTAGTTACTACAAAAAGGTATGAAAGTTCATAAACAGAGAATGAAAGAAAAATCAAATAGTAGAGAAATTATTACAGGAATAAACCATTGAGAAGTTTAAAGTTATTTAGAAATGAATGCCTTAACTCTACAAAGTTAAATACAAGATTAAAGTAAATTTGGTTACATGTAAATATAAATGCTAGTCTAAAAAACATTTTATTATTTTCCAAGATTAATGGTTATTGTGTGAGTGTGTAAGACAGATCCTATCAGAGAAGATCTCCCTGGGGATTCTAATAATTATAGTATTGGATTTCTAAAGATGTTTGGTGGATGAAATTATAATGTGATTATTTTTACAAATTTATGCTACTTATTATTTTGTCAAAATAAATATATTACTAAAAATTGCTTCACAGAGTAAACTGGAAACTGCTAGTTGTAGAAGAGAGAATACCAAGATAGTAAAACAAGACTTAAAAATGAGATAA